AACTCACTTAAAGACACAAATCTTAATGGTATTGCTAAATACAAGGCGGCGATAGCCGCGGTGGCCGATGGTGTACATGACTATAATGAGAGAGTGGCAGCGTCGAATGAGAGTGTTAGTGATGTTATTACTACATTGCGTGATAGTGTTGGACAGACTTTAACAGATAAGTTGAATGCCATAAATGAAAATAATGTTTCTTCAGGACGCTGACCTTTCCAGTGCTGTGAAGTCGGCGGAGGCCTTGGTCAAGACGTATGCTTCTAAAGGTACGGATTTCAAAAATGATTTTCGTGATAAAATATATGACGATTCCAGAGACGCTTCGAGTGGTAGACGCGCCGAATACAGAAACGGCCTGCGTGTTAACAGGCCTGTGAAGTATGAAGACAAGGAGGATTTTAAGGACCTGAATGCTGAGTTAAGATTAAAAATAGAGACGGCGATCGATAATATTGTTCATGAAGGTAAGCGTCTCGGTGAACTGTCGGCCAAGGAAAAAACAGACTTGGAAATGATTCAAACGATCAATGATTCTTTGGGTGGGCTAAAGAGATGTGTGACTAAGAAATTAATGAGGATGTTATGGCTCTTGTTCGGCAGGTGAAGGAGAAAGGTTACAGGAATTTTCAAATTGCTTAAGGAGATTGAAAGGAAGCTGCGGGATTATTTGGAAGCTCTACGAAAGTGGATTAACGAGACGGACATTGATGGGACAATGAAGGAGGTGAAAAAGATTGCATAAAGATGTCGGGTGGCCAAAGGATGATGTAATAAGGCAGAAAACAAAATTGAAAGAGAAGGGTGAATATGTTTTCGAGCAATTTGAGAATGCGAAGAATCAAGTTGCTACTAATGTAAACGCCGCGCCCAGGCCGTGAAAACGATGGACCGCAGCTGAAGCAGGATTTGTTTGGGGTGAGGAGATAAAAGGGAAGGTGGAGGAGATTAATAGGAAGATTGGGAGCTTGGGGAGGTGTTTAGTGATCAAAAGGCACTCCAAAAACATTGATGAGTGTTTGACAAGATTAGGAATAAGGTTATTCAAATTAATGGGCAGGCAGGGAGATAATGATGCATTTGCCATGGGATTCGAGGGCATTAAAAAGGCTGTTAAGGAGTATGCGGAGGGGTTTAGGGACGCAAATTTTGAAAATACAGTGAAGGGGTGGATTCAGAAGATTTTGGAAACAGAGACTATTGTGAAAGAGAAAATTGATGGGTATTTAAAAGACAACACGAGTCAACTGAGCACCAATTATAATTCTTATGGAACTACAGGAATGAATATAAATATTGTTAGCAAAATGTCCGCTAAAATAAGGGATGAGCTCATTAGCGCTGTTATTTCACCAGCTAACCTTAAATTCCCTAAACTAGCAGTCAACGACATGAAATCCAATGTGGAATATATTCAAGGCGCCTGCAAGGCATTCGCCGAAGAGCTTGAGACGGCGATCAAAAAGCTATTAAGCTTGCAGAGGAACAGCCCGGCAGGAACTTTACGCTGTCGATAACCATAAAAGACAAAATAAAGGCTGATGTTTTGAATCCGACAAGCTACGGCAATGAAAAGTCCCAATATAAGCTTCAAGAAGCCATCAAGCTTCTACTTCATCAACTCGTCGGTGCGGCCAGAGGGGCAGCTAAGGAGCTCCACTCTTTAGCACTCGAGACCAGACCACCCGGGTCCAGCCCAGGAAGCATTGCAGAGAAAATAAAAGAAGCACATACAAATGTTAAGTCACTTAACGGTCAGCTTGACACGGCGACTGGGAAAATCAGCGGCAGGGCGTCTGGTACCAACCCTAACCACGCCCAAGCCGTCGACAAAGCGATCGAAGCGGTGGGCGCCACGCTCGAGCAGCAGTTGCCGAACGGCAGTGATAATACTCATGTCAAGCTTAAGGACGCCACAAGTTTCAGCCGTTACAACACGCACGTCTCCCAAGACGAAGAGGCACTGAAAGCCCTTGCGTCCGGTAACCTAGAGAATATAAAAGGCGCCCTTCCAGAGGCGATCAAGGGGATCAGGACGCAGGTGGAGACGGACTTCCAAGCTGTGAATGCCGCTACTAAAAATAAGAAGGAATTCGCAACATTGTCCGAAGCCATTACCTCCAATCTGAAATCTCTCACTGATACCGTATCACAGGTCGGCCAAAAAATCAACGCCAAATTGACTGAGCTTAAGAGTAAGATCGGTAAAAAGGAACACGGTAAATCTGCTACGGATAACACACTTCAAAAAATACATGAAAATCTTGAAAAACTACTGAACAATGAATTGAATACAGCCATCCAAAACACCGACAATCTCCTTAAAAGTGAAGTTTCCAAATACCAACAACAATGCATCCAATCACTTGAATCCCACGTGGACTCCGAAGTAAAAGAAGCCATCGAGAAACTCACCACCCAGGCTAATAAAAATTATGTAACATCTATCAAAGAGATGCTGAATGCATTCGCCGATAGGGTGCAAAAGGAATTGAAGCCTCTGCCTAAGGATATCGACACCGACCTGATTACGGGCTTTAAGGGTTTCATGAGGACTGTGCAAGGTGTCATTTCGGATAACGACACTTCGAGTGTACATATTAATTTGCTCAGCAGTCTTGCAAGTGAGTCCACTGACACAGCTGAGCAGAAAGCACAACTCTTCAAAACGCTGTCTACAAAATTCAAGGAATTCGTCGGGCCACTAAAAAGGTATTTGGACACGGAGATCAAGAGACTCTATAAAGACATCAACGCAAAGAAGAATCCTCCCGTAATTATCAAAGACACCGATAAACATCCTTACGCCGACGCACTTGACGCCGTGCAATCCAAACTAAACACTCTCCTCGACGAACTTCACAACTCCAATCACTTCACTCACAGTCTCACCTTTAATCTTGGTAATCTTAGCAGTGCACTTCATAGTTTAGTTCCGACAAATTTCGAGGGCCCGTGCAACACGCTGCTCGACGTTCTAAAAACAGGCCTGACAGGGATGCACGCTGAACTCAAAAAGGCGTACGTGTCGGTGTATGACGATGCCAAAATAGACTGGGCAGACGAGAAAAATCCCGAAAAGGAGAAATGCGCAAAAATTCTGGTTACTATTATGGAGACGGTGCGCTATCAGCTGAATAGGTTACAGAATGGGTGTAAGAGTGATAAAAATAAAACGCACAAATTAACTTATCGAACGGCCTAGGAAAATTCCTTAAATCGATCGGCTTCGGAGTATCCGAACAGGGCAAACACAATGGTGAACTGCAGGACAAGGAAAAAATGACGGGAACAATGATTAAGACGTTACTCGAGAATTCAATCACTAACGCTTCCCAAATTGGTCTTCTCAAAGAGTGGAAGAAAGAAGAGATAAAGAAAGCTGCAGAGCAGGCTTTAGCTAAAAAGCTTGCAGGCATTATTCCTGTGGCTACTGGTAGTATTCAAGGCGACGGCAGTCATATCACTATTAACCTCATCGACATCGTTGACTTCCTTATCGAACAGGTTGTTAGCTACTACAAGGTGTCTCACTACATCCCTCAGAAAACACGGCCACCAACAACAGTATACGAGATGCTCCAATGGGTCACCGGACTGAAGTACAATCACGTGTACGATGGAGTTAAGAACCACATTAGGACATTGTTCCCGAAGCCTGATGCATACAAAGAGCATCCAGATTATTCACTAATTCCCACCGATAAATTAACCTTCCGAGCAACCACCGAAATTAAGTATGACGAGCTGACCGATGCACTTGGCACAGTTTGCTCGAAATCCAGAAGCACACTTAAAGCCATAATGGGTCACGGACATTCCGACGGCCGTTATGCCTGCGAGTTCAATACAAACACAGATAAATTATTGTATCCTAGTACTGGTGGTGCGTGCTTTGATGTGCTAGTAGATATACTGAATAGGCTGTATCATCAATTATGCTTCGTATACAAACAGTGTCACAACGGTCCTGACAGTAGTGGTTGGTCCGATTGCTACTACGGTCGCGGCATTGGGGGGTTCGAACTGGAACTGCAACAGTAACCAATGTCCCAACCAAATAGGCAGCCAACCATGTAACCAAAAGTGTGACCAAACGGGTGACCAACATCCAAACTGCGGCGTAAAATCGCCACTTCAATCCTTCCTGGAAGATGGTCTCCCCGGGTTCCTTCCTCATTCAATTACCTCTCCTGGTTGCAAACTGACATGTACGTTAACTAACCACTTTGGTATTCCATGTCTCACTCCCATGGGCTTTACAGACATAGCCACAGTGGCGTCGCACACGAGGGATGGCGCTTATCTTAAGCTGGCGCTTAATGATCTCTGCGGCCATGACAAATCTCCCCTCACAAGGCTGTGTGCCATGTTTACCTGCCTGCTACGCAATGCACCGCAGACTCTCGGTGATATGTTTGCATTTTACCATAGATTCCTGCAAACATATAGTAGAGAGGGTATGAAACACAGAATTAGTGCATTTAACAAAGCCGTCGAGAAGGCGTATTTCGGTGAGCAATACAATAAGTTGGTCATCACTTCCATACAACACTCCGGTACTCACAGTGATAGCAATCATCCCAAAGGTGATCTGTTTAGCCTTGTTGGCTGCAATGATAAGACATCTTCCCCAGTGCCTCCTTGCGGATCATACTTGCAGCCCATTACATTGAACACCCGTTCCATGCATTCAGAAAATCACGCCGATTCCTATGTGTCATGGTTTGTTTATATCACAGCAACGTTTTATGGCTTACTCAAAAAATTATACGACGATTGCTGCAATAACTGCAACAAGCCAGGCAGCCGATGCTATGATAAATGCTGTACTGAGACATGTGCCGTGAAATTGGTGTATGATGCTCAAAAATCCAGTGCTGAAAAAGCAGTGCCCAATCAGCCCTCAACAGCGGTGCATAAATCCGAATGCCACTCTATTGTGAAGTGTCAAAAAACACATCCGACACTCTATGCATACGGTTTTACGTTTGAGAGCTCACACAAACTCAGGGGTACAGCAGACATAAAAACGAGGCGCACGTGCAGAGATTTCTGCGAAGCATTGAAGAAGATTCTTGACAAGGAATCCGTTCTCATTCAACTCATCAAAGAAATCGATGATTTTATATGGGCAATAAGGGAGAAATTCTCTTACACCCTCCTCACCCTCTGGTCGCTCTCGCTCCTGTACCTGCTGCACATCGCCGTCGTCCGCCTCGACGTCCTGAGGATACGCTCCCACCTGCGATTACCCTCAAGCCACCGCATCGCCGCGCAGTCCCTCCTCGCCGCCGCACGCGTCAAGGCACTCGCCAACGTCAAGTACTTCTCACCATAATCGTGCCTTCACGTGTGATCTGTGTAACACTCACTCACCCACTCACTCAACCACTCACATACTCACCCACTCAACCACTCAACCACTCACCACTCACTCAACCACTCAACCACTCACCACTCACTCAACCACTCAACCACCCACACACCCACTCACTCAACCACTCAACCACCCACCCACTCACTCAACCACTCAACCACCCACTCAACCACCCACTCACTCACTCAACCACTCACTCAACCACTCACCCACTCAACCACTCACTCAACCACCCACTCAACCACTCACTCAACCACCCACTCAACCACCCACTCACCCACCCACTCAACCACCCACTCAACCACTCAACCACCCACTCACTCAACCACTCACTCAACCACCCACTCACTCAACCACCAACTCACCCACTCACCCACTCACCCACTCACTCACATACTCACCCACCCACTCAACCACTCACCCACCTACTCACTCAACCACTCACTCACCCACTCACTCACCTCCCTCCTTCACTGGTCGCTTCGCTCCCTCCTTCCATCACCTCCTCCGTCGGCGTCCTTCACCCAAATCCTTATTTTCCACCTTCCCCCTCCTCCCCCCAAACCGCCTCGTCTCCACCCATCTTCCTCCTTCATTGCCCTCTTTCGCCTCTTCACCTCCCTCACCCTGTCCACCAACCTCCCTCGCTGCCTCCGTCACCTAAAATCGCCTTTTCCCAAATTCCCCAAATCGCCCTTCAAATGTGCCTAAAATAATCCTTCAACATTTCTCAACTTCTTCACACTCCTCTTACTAGCCCTCTGGTCGCTGTCGCTCCTGTACCTGCTGCACATCGCCGTCGTCCGCCTCGACGTCCTGAGGATACGCTCCCACCTGCGCTCGCCCTCAAGTCACCGCATCGCCGCACAGTCCCTCCTCGCCGCCGCACGCGTCAAGGCGCTCGCCAACGTCAAGTACTTCTCACCATAATCGTGCCTTCACGTGTGATCTGTGTATCACTCACCCACTCAACCACCCACTCAACCACTCAACCACCCAACCACTCAACCACTCACCCACTCACTCACTCAACCACTCAACTACTCACCCACTCACCCAACCACCCAACCACCTACTAACTCAGTCACTCACCCACTCACCCACTCACTCACCCACTCACTCACCTAATCACTCACATACCCACTCAACCACCCACTCACACACTCAACCACCCACTCAACCACTCACTTACTTACTCAACCACCCACCCACTCAACCACCTCCCTCTTTCACTGGTCGCTTCGCTCCCTCTCCATCACCCCCTCCCTCACCTCCTCCGTCGGCGTCCTTCGCCCAAATCCTCATTTTCCACTTTCTCCCTCCACCTCCAAAATCCCCTTACCTCAACCCATCTTCCTCCCTCATCGCCCTCTTTCGTCCCTTCACCTCCCTCGCCTTGTCCACCCACCTCCCTCACTGCCTCACTGCCTCCCTCACCTAAAATCGCCTTTCTCAAAAAATTCTAAAATTCTCCAAAAGTGTCCATTTCACCTTCTTTTTAATATTTATCATGCCTATCAATCTCCTAAAAATGCCTCTGAAATTGACAAGCTTAATAAGGATCTTGACTCTCATAATGCTTCCAAGAGGTCTCTTGAGACACTAAGTGGGATTTGTGGATATGCTGTTTCACTTATTCAAAAACCTAAAAATGATGGAGAATGTAAAGATATTTTAGATAAATTGTGTTCCGGTCTTGAAAATTTCCTAGGCTTCAACCCAGAGTCCAAAGGCTACTCGGGTGATGGCATCGTGTACTCGGACTTTGACAGGCTGTGTGACGGGGTGATGGCGTTTTTGAGTGGTGTTCTTGACTCTGTGAAGGATGATGATAACGTCACAACTTATGATAACGATGGTGATAAAATTACTTCAGTTATTTCCTTTCTTAACAATAATGTAGGTAAAGGCCGTCAGGCCTTCCGTGTCGCCGTGACTGAGGTAAGTGAGTGGTTGAATAGACATGGTGAGCAGGTGGAGGAGAGGACTGGAAGAGTTACTGAGGAATTAGGTGAGTTGAGTGATAAATTATCATCTGGTGCAGGTGGACAATATTATGAAGAGGTGAAGAACCAAGACGGTCAGAAGCTTGAGACGCAGCTGAAGGCCTGGAAGGATACACTCCATAACATCCACATAGATATAAAACACATAGCAGACACTGACATTAATGATTTAGATAGGGACTTAAAAACTGCATTGTTACATGAAACAAAAGTCGTTGCGAAATCCGTGCAGGTGTTGAAGGAGTCGGCAGGGGATGGGAACCTTGCGAGCCAGGCACGGCATGTGGACGACCAGTTGCGGATTCAGAAAGAAACCGTTGATAGAGTTATAAAGACGGGGAGTGAAACAATACAGAAATCTATGAGAGAGGAATTTGCAAAAATATGGGAGAGCGTTGTTATTTTAGATTCAATCAGAGCAGATGAATATAAGTTGGTGAACAAGGCTGTAAAGGCTGCGAAGGATGAAGCAAATAAGTTGGTTGAGGATTTCAATGGGACCTATAAGAATGACATTTGTAAGCATTTTGAAGATATCAGAGTAGCCGTTGAAAAGGTACATTCAAATTTAACTGTAAAAAAAACCAAGCTCGTAGAATTGCTCCGCAATGTTCAGGGGTACTTTGCAGAGATTAAGCAGGGCGTCAGGGGAGAAGTCAGCAATTTAAAAAGCGGTATAATGTTTGCTTGGAATGAGCTCAAGAGAAAGATTACGACGTCTGTTGGAGAGCTATATACCACTGAGACTGGCGATCCTCTAAAGTTTAATGTACTCCGTAGAATAGTCGATGGCGTGCAGAAGTATTCTAAGAATTTCAACGATGAAGAGAATGAAGGTGAAGATGATGAAGATAAGAAATTTGAAGATATACTACAAGATTGGATTGATGACCTTCTGTATATCGAACCGGTGAAGAGTTATATTGGGAAGTATGTTACGGATAACAGTGGCAGTATTGAGTCAACATACACCACGGAGGAAGGTGAGAAAGGCAGTGGAATTTATCTGAAGCTTAACAAAGTAATTTCAGGTCTGATTAAGGGCAAACTTAAAAAGGAAATTAGCCAGGCAGTCTTAGCCGCTGCAGCTCTGATCGAACATGCCGCCGACACCTCCGCAGACAAGATCAAAGCATATGCAAGCGCCGTTCAATTTGGTTGTAATGCATTTGCAAAAGCACTTGGAGAGAGACTAAAGATTGAGGATGGGGGAGAAGATGATTTTGCTACAGTGATTGGTACCCTAGTACAGGAAATTGGCGAGGCAGTTAAAGAGGGTAACCCGCCTAAAAACACCGGTGAAGTTACGGCCGCCATTCAACTGATAGTAGAACAACTCGTCGGCGTGGCCAGTGGCGCAGCTGCGGAACTGGAACGATTCTTAGATAAATCAAACCTAGTTGATAACATACAATTGGCTATAAAGAGTGTCGTTAATATTGCAACGCAATTTGATAAGCAAAACGCATCTAATTTCGGTCCCAAAATTGATACAGCCTTGGGTGAAGTGAATCAAAATATAATGGCAGTTAGTGGATATTTTGAGGTGCAACAAACGAGGAAAGAAGGCTCAATTTTCAATCAGCTCGGAACTATTCAAATGGAACTCGCAAGGCTAGAGAGGATTTCCAAATATGATAAGGAAGGCGAAATTAACGTGAAAAAGAGTGACTCAGATGGGCTTATGCACAAATTAAAAGGTAAAATAAGTGACATTCGGGACCGAATTAATGAAGTTGACTTAGCTGTAGAAAAGGCCGAAAAGGAGTTGAAAGCTTTCATAAACGCAGCCAAGGCAGCTGTTCATGAAGCCCACGGTAATGTGTCACATACTGTGTCACAACTTCAAAAAGAACTCCTAGAGCAAACTGAAAAGTCCTTTAAAATCCTCACCACAGCAGCCCAAACACTCTTCGCAGACGCCCACAAAGCAGACCTGCAAGCATTACAAACCTTAGTGACACAACAAAAGGAGGAAATCGAAAAAATCATCCGCAAGGACAAACGGAACGGCGTGAAAGGCCTGCTGAGAGAGATGTACAAAACGAGTGGAAGCCGGTTTAAAACTTTGAAGGATGCCGTTTCTTCACAACCTGGCAAATCGGAGGATCACGCTAAAATGTTTAGACGATTGTCCTCTAAATTCAAGGAATACTTAGTTAAAGTTCTAGATTACCTGGAGTATCAGGTCATGACTCCGAAAGGAGATGAGACTCCGGAAAGAAAGCATAATCAGCAATCGGAAAAGGTTCACAAAATAAAAACCGAATTATACATATTACTAGATCACCTCAAAGCCCATGTCGGTAAGAAATACAATTTCGACTACGAGTTCAACAAAAAATTGGCGTCACTCAAAGATGCCGTCACCGCCCTAAGCGCCACGGAATTCGGCCAAGGCGTAAATCCCAAGCTGCTCAACGTTGTGAAACGCGGCATGACGGACTGGTGCAAGCAGTTAGGGTACGCCTATGTGAACGTGTACGACGATGAGAAATTTGAGGAGGAGTTGAGGGACGGTAAATTTGTTCTCACCCCCGGAAAAGAACCCGAGCCGGTATACGAGTTGAACGACTATGGACGGAAGTTGTCGAAAGTCCTTCTCACTTGCGTTTCCACATTGTTCCATGACATTGAAAAGCTACGAACGCAATGTAAAGATGACGCTGCGTGGAAAGGAATGCAAATTCACCTACGCGAGAAAAATAATAAAGAGAATCCACTCGGCGAATTTTTTGACAACTGCGGATTTATTGTTTCGAAAGATTATAATGGCTATGAAGGCGAATTGCTTAATAAGCCGGAGTGCACGGGTAAATATATTTATGATAGCCTCTACCTCAATTCAAAAGGCTTATTACCAGGTCAGTTCAGGGGTCCGTTTACATATCTTTACCGTTATCTTCATAAGTATAATGAAGTATGCCACATAGCTACATTCACCGCAAAGAGACATCCATGTTCCGTGAACGAAATGCTACAATGGTTAAGCGGTCTCCCGCATAACAATGTTTTGAACAACTTAAGAAACACATTAAAACACTGTGCGACAAACCCGATGACCAAAAGGATATCGAATATTCACAGATTCATTCCGATAAGCTAACATTCCATGCGTATCCTGAAACATTAACGGCAGCCGATTTGCGTTTGACATTAAGTGACATCTGCTCAGATTCACGTAATATACTCACTTCTATCCTGGGCAACGGCGACGCCTATACGACATACGCCTGCGACCTCTCTAACAATTCCTCGGTTTTACATTACCCCTCTAATCCATCCGCGTGCCTCGACATGTTGCTTGACATCCTGCGTAGAATATTCCCTCCACTTAAATTTCTGCTGAACCAGTGTAACAATGCGTCATCCGACTGCGGTTGGTTGCAGTGCAGATACGGTAAAGACATTCGCCCTTCCAAATCGCTGTGCAATGAGCACACCAAAAGCAAAATTGATTGCGAACCCACTTCACCGTTAATGTCTTATCTCACAGACGGTCTTCTCGGTCACCTACCTCACACTCTAACATCTATTGGCTGTAGAGCTGTGTGCATAAATTGTCCTACCGGCAAACCAGGAATGCCGTGTCTGACACCTCTTGATTCAGAGGTTTCTCAGGCAGTACACGTAGAGGCAAAGACCTATGTAACGTGCTAGGCAAATTGTTGACCAATGTACATATCAAAGCCCTGCTCAGCCTCGGCACCAAAACGCCGGCCACCTTATCCGAGCATTTCGGTTTTGTTTCCTCTCTCGTTAACGGTTGGCATAATCGCACAAACATTGATAAAGACGGTGTTCAAAATCCTTCGAGGACGCCATCACCAAACTATCCATTGCGCTGTACGAAAAACCTGCAGAACTTACAGATGCGCTTCGTGATGCATACGGTTCTGAATCTGTTAGTCATTCGAGTTGCCAGCATTCGCATCTGTTGAATCTTACAGATTTTGACACCTGTAACAGAAATGGGCTGCACTGCGCTCCGTATATTACGTCGCTCTGCGGAGATTATTACACTTATCTACCAGTCAAGAATTCTAACACTTACCTCTCCTGGGCCATATACCTCCCATGGACATTTTGGGATCTACTCAGCAATCTCTATACTGCTTTCTGCGCTATCAACTGTCAGGATTGGGGATGCCGTGGATGTCTCAGAGGAGACAAGTGCAAGAGTGGCAAGCATGGTGTCGTCGAGGATGAGAAGAAAGCAGACGCCGTGTGTCAGTGTGATTCAATAGTCCAGTGCAAAGGAGTATCATCAACATTCTACCAGTATGGTTTCACATTCGGCGAGGCGTCGACGTTGAATAGTGGTAGCGCAGCGAAGAAGTGTTCCGATTTCTGCAGTCAGTTGAGGAATGTGCTGCACTCCAAATATTTCCAAAAGCTGTTCAAGGAGTGCGACAATTTCCTGAAAGAAATAAGATGGCCATTTATGCTAACGTTGTTAGCCCTCTGGTCGCTGTCGCTCCTGTACCTGGCGCACATCGCCGTCGTTCGCCTCGACGTCCTGAGGATACGCTCCCACCTGAGATCACCCTCAAGCCACCGCATCGCCGCCCAGTCGCTACTCGCCGCCGCACGCGTCAGGGCACTCGCCAACGTCAAGTACTTTCACCATAATCGTGCCTTCACTCACCCACTCCAACCACTCACCCACTCAACCACCTCCAACCACTCACCCACTCCAACCACTC